CTATCGTTAGCAAGGTGAATTTCGTTTGTAGGTAGTTTCCCTAGCAGTGACATCAGATCAATAGTGCTGTGACAGACCAGATGGTTTTCTAAAGTGTCGACTCTCGACCGATCAGACGCTCACACTCAATATGTTACGCTGGTTTGGTCACATGATTCTGATTCCAGGTGACCGTTTTCCTCACAAAGCCCTCATTGCCCAGCATTGAGTAGGATTAAGACGACCGAAGGACGGCCAGTCCATGACTCGGCAGCGAAGTATGTAAGCTTTCCACAGCCTATTCAATCGCTTGGGTAACTGCCATCTTTCCGGATGGGATCGTAGAACTAGACAAACCAATGGTTAGTGAGCCTGTGTCAAGCAGCCGAAGCAGGTATTGCATCAAAGCTATCGCCTTCACCGCATGGCTCTCACCCCCTGCCGTACTTGGCAGGCAGAAGCATTTGACGTCAATGGACTAATTGCACCATCATCTCCAACGCTTGACTCTCATTTCCTCATTCTCCTTATCGTCAATGGACGAAGCCGTAGTAGCTGGAAAGACCGCATCTCGGCACACGGTTTGTGAGCTGAAAAACAACCTAACTGGACAGACTGGTCCAAAGCAAGGCTTCTTCCCTCACCATTCCCTCGTCTACCCTATTCTACCCCATACCGATGTGCAGGTCCCAGCACCAGGACACTGACTATTTTGCTCGCCGTGCACCACACTCTGCTGCAGCGAGATACCTCAGTTGTTAGAGCGCGAATTTACTGATCGGAAGGTCCATGGTTCGAATCCGGCCTATCTCTCAACTTCCTCTGTCAAGGCTTGGACAACCTGGCAGCATTCCAGCCCTCGTGGTTCCTTTTGGTGGCATGGTAGCTAGGCACCGAACGGGACCTACAGCTGAACAATTTCCGTACGTGCAAATTCAGCAGCAACCCCAAACAATTCGAACCCCGGAAGCCTGCCTGTTTAGCCGCCTTCAATGTTCACATACCGAGCAAGCAGGACAGCAATCGGCTCTTACTCGTACTCCGGATTCCCTCTACTTTGATGTATGCTGTTTGTCAGAAACAAGGATACAGGGCACGAGTATCGTGATTGAACTCGCCCTCTTTCAGGTTCCACCTATGCACCTCTGGTGATGTAGAGGCCGCTACAACTGGATATTTGTTACAGATAGATTATCGATTCTGATTGAGCGCGAGAACTAGACTGAATAGCGTAGAATGAATAACGCTTTGACTGTCTAGAAGTGGACGTACATAAACTGAAAGTGAAGGCGAAAGCATGGTTATTACGAAACGAAAACCATGATAACGAAGGAGGCTTTTGCTACCTGGTACAGCCATGTCCTATATCAGCTGGTACAGCCAACTAGCCCCAGGAAAGCAACGGCAATTGAAAAGGTTGACTCATCAATTCACTGGGAAGACTCTCGACTGGAAAGATATACCAAACACTATGAATAACAGTTTAGCTGGCCTCCTGCAACACAGCCTGTGGAGACAGTGCATACATGCAAATGGAATGCAAACCTTAATCGTTCGTCGGAAGAAGAAATCAAGTACGAAATGTCCATAGTGAGACGTGGGAAGCCACCAAGACCGGAAGGCTTTGTTAAAAAAAACAGACTCCCTGGTTACCCATCTGACAAAACTCATTTGTGCGAAACGGAGCGAAAAGAAAGTGCCTACAGATTGGGGCACTTATTCCCATCTTCATAAAGGTAACGCGGACGCTGTGTGAAAACCACCGTGGCAACAGCCCGGTAGCTATAGCATCGAATGTGTTGTCTGATCTTATCCTCTGAGTGTTAAGTGAACAAAAAAGTACACAGATCCGTGGAAACCAAAGTGGGTTCCGTCCTGCAAGAGGATGCATCGGTCACGTTTTCGCCCCCGGCGGATTCTGGAACAGCGACCAGCAACCAACAATGGTTGCGTTCCTCGACTTAAAAGCTACCTTCGACTCTGTGGACCGCCAGACACTGTGACAGTGGATGGAGCAAGGAATCTTGACCACTGTACGCCAACTGCTGCGACTGTGAAGGTCTACGGGAAGGTGTAGTGGTTAACAGCCCTATGGAGTCTCTAGTGAACAGAGCAAATTACTAATGTAAGCCAGATACAAAGTCACAAGGAAAAGGAATCCAAGTAAATCTTGACTCAGTTCAAAATAGGAGATTCCATAGTTGCGTATTCCGTTGAACCACCACACCAAGAATAGTTCTATCTTCCTGGTATTCCAGATCTCCGGTGATCGAAATATTAATCCACAAGTGTGAATATATTAGTCTAGTGTTTGTAGCTGAAATGTTTGTTCACGTTTAGTGTTAGCAGCGGTCAAATACAGCCAACCGGTGGTCACAACAACGGTCACTAAGCAAAAGTCTCAAAGTCACGTTGGAGCCAACAAGCGGGCGGTAGCGGTTGTATTTCAGTAAAACAAACCTTTGTACAGCGATGTGACTGATAATGATGGGGAAAAAAGAAGATACTGAGCATGAAAAAGAGCAGTTTACAAGTGCTACAACAACAGTTTATCTGTCAAGGGTCGAGTTTACAAGGCCGCGGTGCGCTCCATATTATTGTACGGATCAGAAATCTGGCAGCTGCGTGCTGAGTGCGTCAAGAGACTTTCAGTATTTGAGCATCAGCATCAAAGCTGAGGTACGTCGGATGGTTTTCGGAAGAAATAACTCACCCACGATAGGTTATCCGGTCGCACTCTATAGCTTGTGCTGGCTTGGTCACGTGATCTATGCCAGTCGACCAACTTCCTCGAAGAGTTCTTTCTGCACAACCATCTGAAGCTTGGAAACGAGCCAGGAGAGGTCAGGCAGCGGAAAATGAAAGCCATCACCAGCAAACCCAGCTGATCTGATCGTTGCCGTTTCCCTGAATGGGACTCCGAGATGGGATGCATCAGTTGTTAGGGGCATTGTCAGTCAGTGGCGCTCGTCCATGCAAGGTATTGTCGTCAATCCACAGCTCCCTCCCCAATCTCCTCAGTTAAAAGTTTATTGGCAACCCCGTCCTTACTCACCAATCATATCAGCCCCTGCCTCCAACGCGCATCTTCCTGCCTCACCTCCCCCAGATCATCAGTGAATGATATTGTGGCCGCCATAGCTACTGTATGGCATTTACGCGGTCCTTACAGGTGATAATGATGATGGTCCTCAAAATCCTCGGATCATCGAATATGGAACGTTTCCGTCTACCTCAGAAGTGTCCAGTTTGACGTGTCTATTCAAGCATCGTAGTGCTACTGGTCCCGACAGCCCTAAACCTGCTCTGTTGATGGCGAACTCTTCAACCAGTGTATCCAATCTGTTTGCCTCTATCTGGGAGAAAGCGACCCTCTTAGACAACTGGGGATAGTCGATAATAGTGCCAATTTTAGAAAGAAGTATTCGCAGTTTTCCTAAAGCATGACTTTTCAATTTGAAGGTACAAGGAGCATGTCAGGAGGTGGTGTAATGATGACCAGTTTGTTCATCAGGGCTTGTGTTTCGCCTTCATTTTCAGAAATGAGGACGAGATCGTTTGCGTACTCCAGATCAACATGCTTCTCACCAGCAACTATTTAAACACGGGTTTTGAAAACCTTGCAACGTTGGTGTTACTATTTTTCGACGATGAAGTTTAACAAGGACGGAGGGAGTGCTATCATCCTCCTGTAGCTTCTGGTTCCTCCAAATTACTAAACTGGTTCAGTACGAACTAACTGATCATGTCATGACACCGCAACGCTCGGCTTCACCTCGCCCGCTGTCCTATCTTCCGGCGACCGAAACTGTTGCAGATGAAACCAAATTCCCTTGTAGATGATTCAAAGCTGATAAATTAACTGATTTGGCCTTCCTGTTCTGAACAACTCAGTATACGCGATGCGACAAGAGGCGACATTAAGTTCGAAGAACAAGGTGAAGAGCAAGGTTGCCCCTTCAGGGCAAGAAGTCCAATTATCATCCGGCTTCTTGGACGCGAAGCGTCAATGACCCCTGCCTGTTACAGCATTCAAGTATTGCATGTCTATTCTGTGCTTTGTGTTGTTTGAATGTACATGTCAAGCCCCACATTCAGGTGTGTTTCTGTATTGGCCAGGGCGTTTTAGGCTCTGTATGAAATATGAACCGCCTACTGGCCTCTTCGCTCAATTACGGGTATCATAATGCATCTTCAAAAGGGGTTTCAGAACCGAGGACTCAGACTACCGTAGAGTAGTTTTTTTCGGCAGTGTCCCCAACATGTCCTTCATTCCTTTTGTTTTGAACTTAGGGGCTGAGATCAGATTTTCCCCACACGCGGTAATTAGTTAAGTGAGTAAGTGACCTGTGAAGAGGGAGAGCACTAACCAGCCGATTGGGAAGATGTGAGTGTTTTCCCGTCGCATTCACTTGGATAGTGGTGAAATGGTTCATGTCAACATAGAATGGAGATGTAGGCGCTGAATAGTTGGTGACTCCCGCTCTGCTGTTGTCTTGAATTTTTGACTTGTTTGTGTGAATGACAGGAGGATCAATAACCGGTCGATGTCACCAGCGTGTCTTGAAGGTGTGATATCTAATGGACAGAAGTCATCCTGAATAAGGCATAATCACCCTGAATTACTTTACTACTGGTCTCAAAAATAGCTTTAATGGGAGGCCTGCGTTCCCAACCCATTCACTAGTGTAAACGAGCAAACTGGCGTCTCATTCCTCCGTGCTCCACGACAGCTGTGCTCCAAAAAGGGGACAGCTAGATGATTAGATTTTTCTACGTGTACTCTCAAAACCGCGTTGTTTTTAGCTAAGTAATGCCTAAGTCTTCGTTGGCAAGCTATGGAACTTCGAGTTTACGCACCTTACTTGTTGTTATACTTTTTTCCAGCCTGCGCAATGACGAATTACCTCAGACAAGCCGCTCCTGTAACCGTGGCACGTGTGTTAGCCACTCTGTGCTTGATTTTAAGTTTAATCCATATCTGGATGCACTTTGAAGTGAACCGTTGTTTCATGTCATACATGGCGTTAAGGCCAATGTTAAAAGTAAGTCAGATTGAGGGAGGAGCTTTAATATTGGAGGAACAATCCGTGGACGTTGCTGGGGATGACGGACTCGGTACATACAAACTGTACAAATACTGCAGTGGGTAAGCTAAAGTTAACGCTATCTTTTTAAGGTTCGCAACCATCCACCTATTAACTTTTCAGTCAATGTGGTCCTGTTGCACGGTACATTTACCTACTATTCTTGATGATATGTCATCTTTTGTAGGCGATATGGTTTCCCGATCCTTTTTCTTCCGGGAACTCGTGGCTCACATAAGACCATCAGGTCTTTGGCATCGTCGCAAGACTATTTCATGCACGGAGCTGACCAACTACCGTTCGATTACTTTACGATCGATCATAATGAGGTAGGTAACAGCTGAATCGTCCGTTATCTTTGGGAACACGCTTTTGGCAAATTCGTTGTAAAGATATCCAGAGGCGTTTTTTGGTTTAGTTGCTGTAACTTGCAGCTAGACGGCTGCATATGCACACTCTGTCCTACATTGTATCCCGTTTCCCTCCATGGAATAAGTGTGATTTAATATACTCTGTCCACTTGGGTGGAATGTTTCTCCAGAAAGATTTATGGGGAAACATAGCAAATTGGGATCTCCAAAAACAGCTATTAGAGAGGCAGAACCCAATTTACTTTACCTCCGCCCTTTGTGGCAAGTGAGGTGGGATGGGTACGAATGACCTCTACCAGGGCACGCACCTAAACATGGTCTTTATCAGACATCTCAGACAAACTCCCTCGTCAAACCACTTTTATGTACGTCCGTCATTTTGTCTGTTACCGTGGACAGTTTGCAAAGCGCCTGTGTCAACATACACCTTCCATATTGAAGAAGATAAAACTATAAAATTTAAATAGTTCTCTTTTATGCCGTCTCTTTGACACCGGGCATCTATTCGGCTTTTTTGACTGTTTCAAAGAAACATTCTGGGTACGAATTAGGATGAAGTTTTTAATAACTTGGCTTCTTTCTAATTCAGAAACAGTTAGTATCTGAGTTTTTTTGGGTCCAAGCATTGCACGCAAAAGCACGGATAGTGAGCCTTGCTCAACGGGACAGTAACTTACCGGCTTCGGAATGATCCACGAAATTCACATCAGTTTCATCGCACCCAATTCTCGGTACGGACTGTTGCTTTCAACCAGTTTACCGTTTACTCGTTGTTATGACCTATTTTGTCCTATAAGTACGTCTGAGCTGGACGAATAGATTTCGATCAGGTGGTGTTCTTTCGTTACGTGCCGACTTGCACCATTTGGAGTCTCCAAAACTCCTCCGCGCATCAAGACCGCAGTGGAATTTGTAGATTACCACGCGGATTTGTGCTATCTCGGAAGCCGACTGGATAGTCTACTGTAAACTGAGCCCCGTATTGCCAAGATTAGTGTGGCTCTCGGAAAACCTTTGAGGACAGAGTCTACCACTGGAGACCAAACTGCATGCTTACGAAGCATTGATCATATCTATGCTTAGCCTATACCGACGCACCATCCGATATTTGAGCAGCTTTCACACGCACTCTCTGAGCTGGATACTTGCTATTCACTGAACTGAACGAATGCCTAACATAGGTCCTCTGATAAGCATGCTATGGTGCCATGAACACCATGATCAAATTAACCACCCTACGGTGATGGGAGAGGAATGGGATTCCGCAGTTGCTTCTTTGTAGTTAATTTAATACGAAAAGGCCAAATACTGGGTTACAAAAGCCCTTATATCCGGGCAAGTTTATCCAGTCTGGAAACTGTCCGTATGAGCCTCATTAGGTGGGAAACGGAAGTACGAAATTGGATGGTGTGAACAGAAATGCCTTTGGTTCAGCTACCGTCATCTTCGCGCCAGAGAGCTGAAACGCGCATGACGCAAGGGAGACTTGGAGACCGAATAGGCGGGATCAGCAGTGGTAGCAATGATGGTGGTGTTAATTAACACTGATTGCCTTGGCCTCGTTGGTCACCAGCGAACACGGTGAAACGTCAGCGAATAAATTAATATTGTCAAATATGCCTTATATTTTTGACTTCAGTACGTCATGCTGATGTATTCTTTGTTCGGCTTATGAGTAATACAGACTCGGTCTGAACCGCCGGGTTCAACAGCTAGATTATTCCCAACTGTGACTAGAAGGCTTTGTCTTGGCGTTCTAGATATTCCGGAGTATCAAGCCCACCGTGATGCTATGAGTGACTTTCTGTGACCATCGTTGTACAGACTGAGCCGAATAACGCCAAACCATATATGCGTACATAGGGTGTGTCTCATAGGTGGTTGGGTCCACCAGACTACCTTTTGCATACTCTATGATTCTCAAATGTTCGCTCATCCCAGCTTGCTGTGACAACTAAGGGCCATTAATTGGGTGCGCTGATGACTTTGACATTACTTCTTGTCCAACTTTCGGTCCCATTCCTAAGAAACTATTAGTCTGACAAACTACCGGAGCATTCCTTTCTGGGCAAGTGGGTTGAGGAAGACAGGTATGTCAACAGAGACAAGCACATCAGACAAGCACCGACTAAATAGTTGCTCTCGTAGAAGACGAAAGCGCGAATTAGATGACTTGTGTAAATACTTGCTCAATTCGTCTTCATTTCACTCGAACTCTTCGTTTTTAGATGTGCCTGTAATTAGGCGAATCTTACAGTGTGAGTCATATTTCGTTATTATTCTCCCCTCTATTCAGGATGTCACCGCGCTCAGTGGAGATGCAGTGGAGCGCCAGTCCAGTAAGTATTCACTATGATCGTTCGTCTTCATCCGTATCTCATCTGGGTTGTGCCTTTTAGGGTTTATTAAGATTGTCATTGACGTCATCCTATCGATGTACCGCGGTACGGTGGAGCCTCCTCAATCAGTTTTGCTTGTTGGACATTCGTTGGTGAGTTTTCTCGTTGCCATAAACCATCATCTTGTGTCCATAGTTTGTTCTAATCACGTTATCAGTGCTGTGATACTTTACACAGTCACATGGGCAACCATCTGTGTACACTTGCGAGACACTTTGAACACTGAATAGGGACGTCATATCTAGTGAAACATGATTGAGTTCTTAGATGGTTAGTCCTTGATTTTATCCAAAAACTGAAGAGTACTCTGCTGTTATATTGGTATGATTTATTACCAGTCGGTTTCGGAATTTCAGTCAACAATTGCTCTCATTATCATCTCCCTCTATGTCAAGGGAGACGTCCGTTTATTCGTGTGAAGCTGGGATGTTATTATTTCCATAGAGCTCGAAGGGTATTTGCAAAGATCGGTTGTATGGCTGTACCGCCACGAAGAGACTGGACCTTACCGTGGTGTGACGTTTTGCGCACCTCAACGACCCATTGAGCTGAAGGTATCCCCGCGACACTCACAAAGTCTCATACCAGCAAATATTAGGTTATCCAATTCGAGCTCACTTGATGGCGACTAAGGTAGATCCGTTTTTTCTCTCGAACTGAAATTTCAATTCACACAAATTCTGAGCACTGTTTCGATGCGAGTTATGTGACAAAAGTCCCTCATTCCTCAACATATGCGGTTGTTGCCAGTTGTCCTGGCGCTTATGGGCCACCATAAACCAGGCCTGCTGATGGCTTCAGAACTGCCCTTTTCCGCTTACTCTCTAGTCTTATTCCCTCGAGTTTACACCGAGTACAAGGCAGTCAGCTAGATGCACATGCGGCTGGGATGAATCCATATGTAGGGTTCCTTTTTATGCGCGACATCCATCTCTTCGTTTGATGTGACTGGTCATTCCGGAAACCGCCGTCAGCCCACGCTCTGCGCATCTCTTAAGTGGTTGTCTGAAGGTTTAGGCATCTCGGAGTGCCTGTAATAGATTATCACTAGATCCTTCTCTATACCCTTGCTTATTTCACAATTTTTTCCAAGATCGTTCCAGCTGTACAACAATAGAGTATTGGTGTGAATACATATTATGCTGTCGATGATGATGGACTAACTTCAAACCACTCGCTGTTTCCCAACATGTAGGGTGTGATTTCCGTATTGAACTTACTTTCCAATCCCGAGTTTGATCAACGCAAGATCACTACAGTATTTGCGCTGGCAGGGCCTTTACTAGATCCAAGTAAGTAACACTTTCTGGCCGCAGTTCTGGTCCGATGATACTAATACTGTTGCTCAGTAAACCCACCAGCAGCTCTGTTTCTTAATTTCGTTATTTGTTTTATTCTCCGAATAGTGAGATGCAAGCCAGCGTGAGTCAACCCTGTCTCGAATCAAAGCGAAAAATTTCTTGAAATAAAGGTTTATCCACTGATTGGTCAACACATTATTGTTGTAGTAACATAGGGCAAAAGTCGGATGTTGGATTCACCTCTACAAATGCATAAGTTGACAGGGATGGTTCGATGATCAAACACCGAACGATTTGACGGTGTATAGGTAGAGACGGAAGCAACCACTTCTAACAAACATCTCTCCCGGCAACAGCAGTAAAATAAGACAGAAAACGTCACGTCCCGACGCTGTAATCGTGTTTGCAACTGATCGTTTTGGGATGGAAGCGTGCATTTGACATTGAATCGAATCTGGAATCTCGAACAGATGAATGAAAATGGATGGGGGAGATGGTAAGGTGATACAGAGTTCAATAGGGGAAGATGGGGATTGGGCACAAAAAGATATACCCAAATGTCCGCCTCCGTCATTTGAAAGGTTTAAGGACTTCCAGGCGAGTTAAGCATAGGAGAGAATAAAGAAGAACGGGAGTTGTGACAGTGCTCCAGCCCAACTCAAACTGATTGGATTCTGGTATGTGTTGACAACGGATAAGATACCCTTCCTGCAGTGAACTTACCCTAACTTTGTCAGCCACATACAAGCAACTGTTACATACAGTGACGAAGGACAGAAATGCATCCGCCAACACCCATATGATCTGTTCTCTACCGCCCGCAGACACGCTTGGTTGGACCATTCGGGGAAGGGTTGTTTCCTAAATCTGAAAAAAATGAGGAAATGAAGGAGGAACGCTCACAAGCTTTTCAGCAAAAACTGGATAATCTGCTTCGAAGTCGCCAAAAGCTCTAAATAGTTAAAGTTTGAAAACTTGGGATTCCGGGGCGAGAAGGAATGAAGCAAATAGGAAAATTCGGATATAGACTGTATTGGCTGAAAACACTACTTATGAACGGCCTCTAGAAAACGATTTAATAAAAATTACGGTGTGCGAAACTCACAGAACGTCCACAGTTTGGCTACAGTATATCCGGACCCGAGGACTGCTCAACCAGATCTCGAGTGTCCGCAGCTCGATGGCATTCTTCACCATACATCAGAGAAGTAGAATAATCCCGAAGCTGATAGACAAGTATTAGTGTATCTGAAGAAAAGGCTCCCAAAGGGGCATAGAAGGAGTGAAATTGAGGACGGACGTGTACTCAAACATTGTGCTGTATACAGTTGTTAGTTTATTCAAACACAAAACCAACTAGTGATCTCGAAATGGTGGAGTGTATAGAAATCCAAGTATAAGTGAAAATATTTGTACCCTGTAACTCTTCCGCTAAAGTATGTGTTGGTATAAAAGCAGTAATGATCGTGTTTGCAATGGCAATAAGGCTGTGAAGCGTCGGTGTTGAACACTGGTGTCATGCTGTCGATGATGATGGTGAGTGCAACGGCACTGAAACGGGAGGATGGCAAATGTAATCACTCGATTGACGAGGTCATCTAACTTGTCTTCCAACACGGAAAGTAATCTGAGATGTTCTGAACATGAATGTGAAGGAAGGGTGTTTGGAAATATTGTATGTTGTGGGATCAAACGTGAGTTTGATAAAGGCTAGTTTCAAACGGTCGATGGCCTGTTTTGCCTGCTTTTTTCGCAACAGCTTAAAATGTATAAGGTCCGTCGTATGGAGGTAATAGTGGTGCACAAAAGCAGGGGGTAGTCGAGTGTTTGGAAGGGATGTATGTATGTATGCAGTTCGCCAGAGAAACGTAGCTTAATGTCACGGACCACTTCAGGTGCCGAACACATCAGACTCACATTCACTGCATTCCGAATGCCGTATACAATGAGAGGCAGGAATGTTCTCCATTGTGATACTTCCATGCGGGCTACTAGAGGAATGTTGAAGGTATGGTGGAAACATTCTACAAGCTTGTTAGAACATTGATGGTATGCAGCAGTGAAACTATGTTCACAATCCAAAACTTTAGTAAGTTCGAGAAAAAGTGAATCTTACAACTGACTACCCCGATCAGTAGTGCTTGTGGCAGCGACACCGAAATTAGTGAGCAGATGTTGTGAAAGGACGATAAAAGTAGCTTCTATCATAGTGCGAGTGAGTGGAACGGTTGCCGGCCAAAGAACAACTGTCGTTAGGAGTTATTACAGTGTGGAAGTGCACCGACATGTAATTGAAACCTGTGTCAGGACAACAGGGGCTGAGGTATCTCGGTACACTGTTTATTTGCTGCCACCTTGACGTGGTGGTCGGGCTTCAGTGTTGCAATGATCCTGCGGGCTACACTGGCTGGAACTTCGTTCCAGAAGGTGCAACCATGCCAGGAAGGCCAAAGGGGAGCAGCCAGACCAAGAGCAGCGAGACCCCGTACTACGAGTAATCGTGCTACGAGGCGGTCTGGGGGTAAAGTCGTACTGTCCTCTGCGACAGGAGTGTGAAGGCAGTAAGGTGTTTCCCCCAGGCGACCAGCATGTCCATATTTATGGAAGCAGCGATGCTGCCTTCCCCCGAGGAAGGACGGGTTAGAAAAGGTCGGCCCCAAAAACCGCACA